CATATTTAGAATTCCCGGAGGGAGGGGACGTGGAGGAAGTCACAGCTTTCAGATCGAACTTAAAGAGACACTTACATCAAAGGACAATGGCTTCAGACACTTAAATAATGCGAGGTTAAGATAACTAACAGCAATTGATTTAATAATCTTTCCAAACCTATTGGTAGCATCTGTTCCAAAACAACATACACCATCATAGTTATGCTGGTGATTCTAAAGCTTACCTTGTTTTTAACGAGGCCGAGTCTAATTCGAGTGACACATTGTGCAGCTTTATAATTTCATGCAGTCATTTGTGTGACAGAACTTTTGAAAATTATTTTAATTTTAATACAAAATTAACATTATTTGTAACTCCTGCTGAAAATGTGATTTTACGGACAATAATTGGAAAAAGAACGTTGAAATGGCTCTAACAACGTCACCATATTCGGATTTTGTAAGCAATATGACGCTAAAGAGTGACGCATGACTTGTATGTTCAAGACGTCGATGAATATTGTACTAAAAACTGATGACATAACTTCCCAAGAAACATACTAGATAGTTTGGTGACATACTAAAAATTGCTACTTCTGCCGAATAAAAGTGTATGCGCCGAAAATTTATCTGCAAAGATATGAATTTGTACCGTAATATTTCAATTTTAATGAAAAAAATAAACATAATAACTACAACAGATCAATCGTGGTGAATTTTTTTGAAATTTCACAATTTGGTAACTTTTACATTAACTTCCATTTACTTGAATGAAGAAGAAATCCCTAGGGCAGAAGTACAAAAAATATGGAAAATATGTCATAATTTGGCATTTTCCAAAAAATTCCCATAGGTTCCAATAGTAAAGTTTGACAACATTTGAGATGACCCCCTAAGAAATCGAGGTGGTAAACATTCGATTTTTTAATCCTAAAACAATAAATATAACAGTAAAAATTAGTTATCAAAAAATTATCAAAATCCCTTGGGCAGAAATAATTAGACTCGGCCTCGTTAAACCTAGGGACATGTGGAATAACACTGTTTTGAGACGTTTGAGACAGTGAATGTGCACCAAAACGCTAAAACTAAACGAGAATAAAACAGATTTTATAGTTTTTACTGAACTTTAGTTGCACCGTCATTAGTGAGACAAGCAGCGTAAAGTACCTCGGTGTACGGTTTGATAGGTATCTCAGCATTCAAAAGCAAAATACGTCCATTCCTCGTGCATGCTACTTCAATCTAAGGAACAATGGTAGAACACGACCTATGATTACAGAGAATGCCTTCCAGATTATAGTCTGTGCACTTGTGGCCTCTATGCTCGAGTATGCTAATGATTCACTTTATGGTACAAATAAAAGCGATCTAGCCAAACAGCAAAGAATATAGCGGCACCTTGCATTACCCGTACCAAAAGGACGGAGAACATTATTTTGTTTATTCTTTATTTTTCTCGAGAATTTATTATCGTGAAATGACAATTCAACATCAAAGAGCGAAAATAATTTTTTTAAAATGGAAGGTTGATCAATAGAATTTACAGGGATTTCAGCACAAGAAAATTAAAGTAAGTAATTTGATTTTGCAAGCGATGCTTCTTGCGAAATTACACGATAATTAATTCCTTGCGTATATAATTAAGAATTTACAGTACTACCATTCTCAAGCCTTTGCATTGGCTACCAATTGTTAAACGCGTCCAATACAAAATTCTTCTTTATACATACAAAGTTAATTAGAACATGGCACCGAGATACATTGAAAACCTCACCAACATCTATCGACCTGGACGTTCCCTAAGATCAGCAAGCCATCAGACACTGCTAAGACAGTTAAACCGATCTTCTATTTAGGGCAATAGACGTCTTCAAGTGCCTGTAGCATCCCTCTGGAACTGTCTACCTTTATATTTGCGTTTATGTTTGTCTGTGCACCCTTTCACATAAAACATCTTTATTCCGTCTTTATAGGGAGGCTTTAATTAATTTTTGTTATATTTGATGAGTTAAGGACAGATGATACAAATAAACTTTTTAAAAACGAGAATTGCTGCATATATAATCATATATGTGATTTAAGTTGAATAATTTATTATTATGATAATTCTTTCGCTTGATTGTATTTTTATTTTTTGCTGTTTTTTTTTTCTTCAATATTTTGTTTTTAATAAAGGATATCAATCCCACATTTTTATTTCTTGTGTCATTCAACATTACCTCGATTCCTGATAATGTTTCAATATTTTTATAATTGTACATGTATTCTCACTATGTTATACAGTGCTTTAGGGTGGTTGGTTATTTACTATATAAGGCGCTTTATAAATACTGTATAAAACCGGTAGTAAAAAAATTATAAAAACCTAAAACAACATAATTCTGTGAAAAGACTTATATATAAATCTCTGGAAATTTCAGAGATAAAATCATATTTTCAAAAGGGGTGGGCACCCCTGTTGACCGGTCGGACGTGTAGAGAGCCTTACATATACAATAATAATATGTAAAATTCTGTTTAAAAAAAATAATAATTAAAAAAACAAACAAACAAATAAAAAAAAAACAAAAAAAAAACCGGCAATTGGTGAAAAACAAGTCAGGTAAAATACAACTCAGTGATACAGTGGCTTCAACGTTATTGCTGACAAAACAACCGTATAGAATCGTTCGTGTATCGTGCGAGATCTCAATCGTTCGGAGTTTTAATCGTGCGTGATCGTGCGTTAATAAACTTTTAAATTTCGTTTTGTCAACAATAACGTTGCAGCCTTTTTTTATGTATAGGTTAAACTTCTTTAAATAATTACAAAAAATCAATTCTGTACCGATTTTATCAACTTCATAAAAACCGTTTCTCGCCTATTTATTTTAATTTTCCTCCAACGACTGGCCTATCATGCAAAGTTAACTTTCGTAATGCAAACCTTGTTGAAATCCTTTTTGAATTAATATAGTGCGAATTTTTCTTTGCCGAAAAAAAACTTAAATCATTACTCATCATTCAAAAAGTTCGTAGCTTTTGTCATAACTTTTTTTATTTAACGCAATTTATAAATTTGGTACATATATTTTAAACACACACATATACAGCAAAGAAATTGGAATATTTCTTGTTTTTTGTCAAAATTATTAAAGATTTAAGACAGCAAAAATGGGGTCATGGAGCAGGGCCAAAATTGAGTTATTGACTGATTATTCACTTTTCATATCTATAGCCATACCTCTTTAAAATTGTTTGCTAAAATTTACAAATTAAATTTAGTATTGGACATTTCTTCAAAAGCAAAAAGTTAATGTAATACATTGCTTTGTTTAAAAGACATCCATTTCTAAGACATGGCATAGTCTTGATGTTAAAAAAGTGTCTTAAGGACGTCACGGGCAACTAGTAATATAATTTTGTTTTGCATTTGGAAACTTTTAAAACAAACTGAAACAGCTAGAGACATAATTAAACATAAAATGAGCTGTACTTGTATATAACAGACAATTTTTGAGGGGTAAAGATTTAAATTGGGCGAGCAAGTGAAACAGATTATAGTTCAAAATCTTGTCAAAAGAATTTGTAACGTCATGAAACGTGAGGTGGGCTAAAATTTTGCGGAACCTGTAAGAGCAGAGTTACATGGTAAAGGATTTGAAAACATTGACAATCTTATTTAAATCAAAAATGATTTTATATTTGGTGTCTGTTCCAATAAGATGACCGGATGTCACCAATTTTTTTTTGAGAAATGTTCTTTAATTTTTTTGACGTTACACTGTTTTTGACCGTTCCGTTGACAAAATCATGCATTTAAAATTGTCTAGTATGAGTTCTGTTTAATCAAATAGAATGAAACTTCAGAATTCTTTAAAATATATCTTTTAACATTTAAAAATTTACTGATATTAAGATTTGTAAAAATAATGTGATGATAAGGAACATTGTCTACGTATTTTTTGAATGACCCTCGTACTTGTGAATGACCATTGACCCGTGTACGGTGTTAACTACGTCAAAATCAACGTCATAAATGGGTAAAATGACGTAATATTAAATAAAAATATCATTATTTTGAAAAAACAGAGGCATATTACACGTTTCTATTAAAAAAATAATAACAAGTTCCTAATCATTTCCTGCAAAAAACGTTTGTAAACCGAATGTAAAATCGGATCGTGACGAAATGCTGACTTTTGATGAAATCCTATGACATTAACTTATTTAGCCTGTCTCCTAAAAAAAAACTTTTTTTAAGGACAAAATACAAACAATTTTTATCTTTGAAAAAGATTTAATATCATGTCACAAGTTTAAACAATTTTTATTTCTATCAAATGGAATACAAAAAGACTTGGAAAATATTAGTAATATTTCAATGATACAAAGGAATATAGATCACATTCAGTAAAGGTTTGTTTCAAATTTTTTATAATAATAATGTAATATAAATAATGATAAATGACATTTTGTTAAAAAAATTAAAAATCAATGTGATGTTGCTGATTTTTGTCATTTTGCTATAAAGTAACATCACAAACATTTTAGCACTCAGTATGTCTATTGAAACACAATAAAAATAACAAGAAAGATAAAATAATAAGTACGAGTGGCTGATGGACAAAAAAATCAAAACATATTTCGACCATTTCCTGGCGCAGGAAAAATTATGTTTTATTTGGCTGAAATGTTTCATAATTCCTCGGAACAATCGTATCTAACTCTATAGAATTTTTGTCTTGCCTTTCTGTTGATTCTGTGTTGTCGACAGGATGGTATCCTGTGGAATCTTCATGACGTCTCCCTAGGCAGCAACACCTAAGCTTATACAAACCAAAGAAGATCAAGTGGATGATCGGAAGGGCAACAAAAATTTCTAGGGCAGAAAATCCCAAAGCACTGCCAAATTTATTCCAGTTTAATACAGAATATATAGGCTCATTGTGTCCTTGTAACTGATAAACCCCATTAAATATCAGATATATTACAGCGAACAAGGCAGGGTAACACACATGCCAAAAACGTACAGGTTTGTCATTGATAAAAATGTTCAGAACTGTAAACACAGAATTAATCATATGTTTGTTTATACTCCTCGCATGCATGTCTGAAAAGAAAAAAAGACTCTTACATCTGTACACGTCTTAAAGCTTTTTACTCAATACATTTATACAAGACTACATATACCTGTGATAAACTCTCTATATAGTTCATACTTACTTGCATCCAAAAATGTATAGTATGAGAATGTGATAAGAATTGAAGATGCGTTCATTATGTTGAAAATCACCCACACTAATTTTAGATAAATACACATCGAGTCTGAAGGCGTGACTGAAAGAAATTTCGGAATTTTTAGAATTTACGACAGCTTTAACTTTTTCATCTGTGTGTTTCGTTTTCTTTGAACCAGCATTTTAAACTCATGGTAGTATTATTACTATATTTTCTTATATATTATTACTGGTTATATTATTTAAGAATTTAAAAATATGTTGTTGTCTGTATATACCTTTATCATGATAAAATTACCTGATCCATTTCTCCGCAAATGTATATATAGAGAGAAAGAGCAATCTAAAGCAAAGTAGATAAATAACACACTCAGAGTATCCCCAGTTTTTAAGGAAAATGAACCAGGATTTATTTTAGTCTGTTTGGTCTGTTATTTCCCAGTAAATCTCCAGGATCATCCATACAAAGTGTTACAACAACAGAATACACTCTAAAGGAGGTACACGCGATCGGGACAACTCTGTAATGAAAACAAAAATACGCTGCAAAAAATTATTAAAAAGTCATTTTTTTTCCCGATATTTTTATATGTAATAAGTTTTTAATGCGTTAAATTCTTGTGATTTTAGAATTAAATTACAAAGGTTCAAGCACAATAAAGGTTCTTTGCAAAATTTAACAAAACAATACTATTGTTTTCAAAGTGTCACAGGGATAACATGACTAGAAACTCAAAGTGGTCATGCACCATATTGTCAAAGTTATTAATTTATATGTAGTAAATCAAAGTAATCACTTTAATGTCATAGTAATCAGTACAGTAAATCAAAGTTTTTACCTAAGTAAATCAAAGTTTTCATAGTGATCACTTTGCTAAATCAAAATTTGCAAAGTTATTACTTTAGTAAATTAGACCAATGTGTATTATAATTAAGATCATATAAAGAACAATTATAAAATAAATCTTAATCTATACATGTAAGTATAAAACTATCAAGAGTATTTAATAATAATTGTGCATAAAGTAAAATTGAATAAATTACACGACGGTCTTGTAAATTTTTTGGCATACATCTGTATTTTTATTCATGTTTTTTTAAAGTTATACGTGATATTTTTTAAATTCATTTATTGTTGTTATCTATTTATATTGATTTACTTAGTATAACAGCACATGATGTATAAAAATCATATACAACATATCAAATAAACAGGTCTCAGTTAAATACCACTATTGGCGTAAATAGGTAAACTAATAAAATGATAATTTGATTTTTAAAAATCGTGTTAATCATCTTTCTGGCAAGATTATTTTCTATTAAAACACTTTTGCAGTCATATCTCAGCACGTCCGAATTCGGAAAACAAAGACAACACTGTGTTTGCTACCCAATTAATCGCAGGGCTTACTTTCACTGTAAGTGTAAAAGCAAATAACGACGCCCATCGAATAAAAGTTGAGGTCATTTATCGCCGTCAAAATTCTAATATTTGTTTTTCGTCGGCGGAACCTTTTGCCTGTACAAAAAATGTCCTCATGCGCCGAAAAATTTTGAATATCAAACATGAAGAAAAATAAAATGAACCCGTAGAATAATGACCCCTTGTGAATTATGGTTAAAATTTTTGGGGTCATAAAAATTAAGGGACCTACTGGCAAAAAAGCTCATCTGAGCTACATTGGGAATAAACTGATGATTTGTTGATCTCATTACATTATATAATTATTACTATTTTAAGGTCAATACGATAATTCAGAATCTTGGGGAGCAGAAGATTTATCTATCATAATTGCAAAATTAAAATTGTTTTTCGATGGTGGAAAATCATTTTACTAACAGCAAAAACAGCAATAATTACTTTAATATATGATCCAGTGATTAAACTAATAAATACTGATTAAGCAAGCAGAAATCTCAAGTTTGTTGTTTACATTTACTCAAGTCCTAGCCAATCAAGTCAAGAAATCGGTGTTAACATAAGCAAAACCATGGTCCTTATTAATTTTACATTTGAAATCTATTTTTGGTGCAATGAAGAAAAAATAATAGCAAATGTCGGGCTTATAGTGGAGCATTATAAGAGTCAAAAATGACAAGTTACCATAAAATATTTTTAATAAATCCGTCAAAAAGTTTATTGATGTAGGGGGGAGTGCATTTACTCTACTGTATCAAAAATTTAGGGATTCACACTTGCAATGAACATTTTCAAGCGAAAAAAATTAAAATTTACGATCGTGAGAGTAGAAGGAGAGGACAGCCCACCTCATACCTGAATGTCGTTCAATTTGTCCACTCAAGTAAAAGCTGAACTTTAACTACTGTCAACGTATTGCATTTGGCTGTGTATTCTTTTTAGCGCCTTTGGTGGTAAGCAACTTCCGCTAATTCAAGAACTAAGTTAATTGTCTTGCAAATATACTCCTAAATAGGAAGATGATAAAATGCGATTAATTAAATCTATACTAGCCTGTCCTAAAATCAATTTCCACCAAATATTGTACAGTCCAAATGTCATACATTTACAGCTACTGTATAAAGAAGAAGAGTGATAACAAGTTAGACTTTCAATGAACATTTTCCAGCGAGAAAATGTTAAGGTTTACATTCAGAAAAAAGCGGACAATCATACACTCTTCTCCAAATCTTTGTACCTGAATATTATGTAGGAATAATGAATCCTAATGTTCACCTGGAAGGTCAAATAAGGCGATGAAGGACCTTTAGCTGAAAAAATACCTGTCATTTAATTTTTGTCATATTTTGTATATATCTTATTTAGTATGTCCTACATACTATAAAGCAGACATATCAATAGGTTTCTAGACTTATTTCTGAGATATTGAGTGACAAATACCATACCCCACAGTGTCTGAGCGGAGTTTTTTTTCTCCGTGTTTCTGGGTCCATTACTCGGTCGATAATTGAAATTTTTCATCATAGATAAAAAATATACCAGCGGAAATGTGTCTTTTAAAATATTTTAGAGTATGAATAGGGTTAAAAATTCGAAAAAGCAAGATTCTTTTGTAACACCACATCTGGAGACGGAAATTTACGACTTTTTTTAGAACAACTTAAACCATAAAAAAATTAATTTGCAAAAAATCCTATCATTCAATATTTGAAAATTTATGTCGAAGTTCAAGGTCGTCATTGTATTGATTAACTGTAAAAATATCGATTGGTGAAGCTGAGCTCAATATTGCACGGGGCAAAGTTAAACGAGTCATGATCATGAGAAAAACGTGTCATGTTTACATTTCTCGAGTCCGGGAAAACCCAACTATGACGTCACACTTTCCTGAAATAAGCGAAATAAGACAAACCCACAGAACTTTTCCGTCAACAACCATGTAAAAATATTTTTTGTGTTCTGAAATTTACAAAATACCCTACCTTGTACATATGATGGCCTGTTTTTATGATTTTATACTACCCGTTTTTACCGTGTATGATCTTACTGAACTAAGAGATCCACTATGACGTCAAAGACGCACTGGACGCGCAGAGTAGGGAAATGGCAGAGTGGATTAATCTATTCCGTAATTTGATAATATTTGCAAGAAATTTTGAATGTTTTCAGATATTTTTATACTAGATGGTGAACGCAAACAAACAGTCAAAAAAATTATACAAGTACTGTGGTTTCAATCTCGTTTTGTACATATTTTATCAGAGATTATGACGTAAATCAACCGAGTCACGTGACAATACATCCTTCATCCCCTTAAATGGTATATTAACAAATGAATCACTGTTTAAAGTAGAAAATAAAAAATATTCTTACATGTATGTATCCTATATTCTCAGACGACCATGTTAACAGAATTGAATGCACATTATACTGGGATTCTTCTTATTCACTTTTATATAATTATTTGAAAAAAACATTCCCTTAATATGGGGAGAGGAGTATCAGAATTCTTTCAGTACCATTTTCCCCCACACCCTAACACTTACCCTTCTTTGACTACATTGAAACATGTAGCTGTTGAAGGTGAGGAGGGTTAAACCTATGCCCTAGTGTCATATGTTTATATTATGTCTATCTTTGCAAAACGTGGGACTAGCCCCCCCCCCCTTCCCCCGGTGCAGACACCTATGTTTTAGACATAAAGAAATGCGATGTCTGCTTCATATTTGGACGTTCTAATGTCTCTATATTCACATATAACTATAGACGCTTATCACGATTTTGCCAAAGGTCCACAAACCCAAAAATTTATTTTTACAATACTTCCAAAGATATGTGGTTTATAAAGGTAAAACTGTTACAGTTTATAAATATCTTATTATTTAACGGATAGAAGCATCACTTGTTAACAAATAGTAAAAAAAGAATATCTATTGAGAATTTAAAACATAATGCACATACTTTTACAAAATACACTTAAGTACATCCGAACTTTTAGTGAAAGTTGTCAATGCAGAAACAAAATATGTTAACCAATGAATTTCAAGTCAGCCTTTGATGGCCTCTGGCAAATTGTTTCTCTGTTTATTTTGTCCAAATGTTAAGACTTGAAACCGAAAGTGCAATGCAAATGGCGGGTTTATTAGGGGCCTTGTCTTTATGTATATATACCACGCTTTAAATAACATCAAAATAACAATTTTCAAATAACAGCAATCAATTTCAGAGACCACTCACGTCCAACTTTCAATGACCTTGAAATATATTTATATGTATTGGAGATATTCAATAATGTGTAATGAGAGATGATTATCTCAGTAATCTCAGTAATCAATAAGATTATTTTCTTTATAAGTAATCCTTACCTGAGATCGAACAAACGCATTTGGCGTGTCATATTCTAGTCCAATTTTTTCTCTTAAATTCTCGCATGTCATTTTTCTTGTTACCCAGAAATAATTTTCCAAAAATGATCATCAATGCGAAATTCTAAATCAATTCACCATTGTGTGAAGAAAGAATTGTGATTTGGACTCCAAATTTAAAAGGTTTGTTAAAAGGACACAATGAGTCAAATTCATGTCTTTCTTTTAAGATATCTGTAGTATAGAGAGAAAGTCATGAAAATTATGACTATATCGCTAATATATGACAATTAAACTGCAAGAAAAAACTGCAAGATATAATTGACGGAAAAACAAAGGTTGTATCTACTTTTTTGTTGTTTTCGTGTTTTTCAAGGTCATACCACTATAATATTTTCAGCTCAGACTTACAAACAAGATTCAACTGGAGCATGCAAAGGTGTGAAATATGTTCTAACAACGTTTTAAAAAGATTAATTCTAAATTTTTGGTCTATTTACATCCATTCCTGGGTACCTGAGACAATGGTAACTATAGAAACTTATTCAAGTTTTCTGCACGCGCAATGAGATGGAAGAAGTATTGAGCAATATTTGGGGCATACTAAAATTATTTTTACTTTTATTTTTCTCCTTAAAAATACAATTTTAAGGTTTTTAAACCTGTAATTTTTTGAAACCTTATACTTCTAGGAATTGAACAAAATTAACAAAGGTCATGCAAAAATTCTACATTTGTCAATTTTCCCCATTGTGCGTCACGGTGCCGCTTTTAATAAAACCTTTTGATTAGTAGTTTATATCGAATAAATAACATCAAAAGGGCGATGCGTATCTTATACTATGATTCGACAGATTTTATATATTTTATACATTTTATACGGTTCATTTATAAACTTGCTTGCTTTTTAAATTACAATATTTCATAAAAAAATAATAATATAGAAGCAATAGCACTCTGACTAATGCATGTAAAATATTTTTTTAAGGATTTCAATCCTTAATAGAATCAAATTCACTACCCTTAAATGCCCATCAAGTACACAATACTCTGATATTAAATTAAAGCACCTTATAATGGGAAAGGATTGCTCGTGAGAAAGTTTCAAAAATTTCATTAATTAAGCAAAAGTTAATTAACAAAGATTGCATTGGGGTCATTGGGAAAAAGATTTTTTTTTTCAAAATGAAAATTCAAATAATTTGAATATCAATAAATTCTGCGGTGGAAAGATGCATTGAAATATTAAAAATAGAATGTCAATTTGAAACAGTTTTTTACCAGCTAAATTTTTTTAATTGATTTTTTTAGTAATAATAAAGGGGAGATAACTATAACCAAAATTCAAGGTCATAGATTAGGATACATCCCACTACACATACTAATAGTGATAAATGGGAATTATGTCTAAATAACCGAGCATTCAATTCCCACATATCTGTTATGCATTCAATTTCATTAAATTTGTTCTTATTAAGGATTTAATGCCTTAGGTCTGTCTCTCACTTCTCTTTAGTATATATATTATGAATGTATATAACAAATTGTAAATAGATATATGGTAAATAAACAAATTATAAGATTTTATGTTATGTATTGCATCGCCTTTACGGCGCATGGATGATAGCGTCAAAGTGTCCAAAGCAGCGTCACGTTTCATCTTAGCTAAAGACTAGAGGTACTGTGAGCAATGAGCTAAATAAATGATACCCCCGCCTCCCATAATGCCCTTGTGTTGCTATATATTGTTTAACGGTAATGTGTAAAGAGAAATAACTCGTCCTATCAAATGATATCCAGAAGCTTCTATGCATGACGTCATAGGTAAACATATAATGGCAATGTCCATGTTTTGCTATGGGAAACCTAAAATACGTGTCGGAAAAAAAGTAAAATAGGAGGTCACAATGGCAATATGTAATAAAGATTCTGTGAAAGTTTCATTAAATTTCACTCAGTAGTATAAGAGGAGTTGCGGATAAGAGATAAAGCGTAACAGACGGAGGGACGTACAGACGGAAATCCCCTCCCACTTTTCAAGCGGGGGGTATAATAAAGTTGGATATGTCCCACTAAAATTTAAGATTTCATTGATTCACATACTTAAGTCTACATAAACAGTTGAGGTATCAATCTGGCACACACATGCAATCTGCTGAAGATTTAGTTGTAAGTGACGGACAACTTTCTTACCATCAATTCCATGATAGAACATCTAATATCGGCGGTCGGCAGTGACAGCGTGTTTTGCTATTACAATGACACTTTGCCTGTATGTTTTGTTATAACCGGGGACTTGATTAAAAAAGACTTAATATTCGCTAAGAAAACTCCTATTTCATTTGTATACTAAAGATCTTGCAATATCTTCTTATTTTTTTCTCCTGTATTCATGTAAAGTCTCTAAACGAGGTGTCATTACAGCGTGTAAATCAAACTGAACTGAACGGTGTACCAGCTATCAATAGTCGCCATTTATTGTGTTATGTTTACCACTATCCCATTTCGTATGCTAGGGGAAACATCCAAAAATTAACCAAATGCACTAAAAATAAAAAAAGACCCCAAAAATAGATTGTGGAATCAAGTAAAGATACTTTTATCCAAATCATAGGTATTCTAAACTTTTATTTTGAACTAATACTTGCGTATTCTCTAATAAAACCATGGTTTTTTGACAGTGTGCCGTAGGACCATACGCAGTGCACATTCAGGCAAAATAAAATCTTTTTTTTTTGTCTATAGATAAACAAAAACGTTTGATGCATTAGTGTGTCCAATATTTTTCGAGAAAAACGCTTTTCCACGATTTTACCGGACAAACCTCGTACATGTACATCATTATGTAATGTTTATCTACACGTAGTTTTGTATTCTTGTTTTATCACGAATACGCCATGTGAAACTTTACTGTGTATATTTTAGCACATGGTCCAAAAATGCGATTTATGTAAGGAATAACTGTCTTATTTTTTGATTTCATGATGTGATCAATCGATTGGCTTGCGTGATAATTTGCATAAACGCCGATTATCACGCAAACCCAATCGACTGATCATCGTCATGAAATTGAAAAATCTGAGTTATTCCTTATATTTACATGCTTTGATTCCACCAATCCACGTGTTCCAAGCCCTACTTCTGTTGCTCTTTTTTTTAAATGCACTTAATAATGCATAAAGATGCATTATTATGTGCATTTAAAAAAAAGAGCAGGATACCATATATTGTTTCCGTAAATTTCCTTTTTAAAAACATCTCGTGTACATGTACATTATTTTTGACTTTTTTCATTGCATGCAAAAAAATCAATACAATTGTTCAGATGTCAGTTCGTGCTACTGTTAAATAGTTCACACTTAATTTAAGATTAAATGTCATTAATATAGCAATTAAAAATGCAACCTGATTATTTCATTCCTGGTAATTTACACCATCTAATTGTTCAACTATATAAAACTATGGCATTGTACGCGTTAAACTTATGGAACAACAAAGAACAAAGGTAAGGTATAAATGGCATTGGTTCTTTTATTGTCACAATTAAGTCCTCATTTAATTAAACAGTGTTAAATTTCGATTGAATGCCACGGATCCATCAATTGAAATACAATCTGATTTTAAAGTCCTTATGATACACTTCTGATGAACAACAAGTCTCCTTTTCACCTATTTAAAACGATCTTATTTTTACGCAATTGTTCACGTTAATTTTCCCTAACAAAAAGAAAGGAGGTAAGATATAAATATTATATCCATTGTGTATGATTTTTTTCGTTGTGACGTCCACAATAAATTATTTAGATCGACCCTGTGTTCCAAATTCATCTTTTGAAATGTTAGATGGTGCCAAGGTTTAATAGTAAACTTCTCTTCATAAGGGTAAAGAGTTTGTAGTTTAAAAGAATGTGTGCTTGGCAAGGAAGCAAAATCTTTATTTCAATTTTTTAATAATAATTTTTTAAAAGTATTTTTTTTCTTATGAGTGTATGCGCAGTAAAATTATTGATAAGAGAACAGATCTGTACAAAATACAAAGATTGCCATAAGATCCGGAAGATTTTTTTAAATGCCTATACAAACCTAGTAATACTGCGTAGAATTATTTCTGAAAAGTTGAACCCAATGACTATCATAATACATGCATCACTAGACGGAAAAAGATAACCATTACTCTCTTTTCAGTTGAAGAATTCAATCAGAAGTTACAGCATTTAAATTTTAAGGCTGTTCTGAGGTAAGTGCTCCTTACAATATCACTTCTCCATTGTATATTTTTGTAATATAGCATTCGGGATCTCCTAATTAGAATTAATAAATGTAAACCTGTGGAAATGTCGATTTAATTGTCGATTTCCCCTATACAAATACTTGAGGAGATTAAATTTAAAAGAAAACACTCATAATATAAAAGTTAATGTCATACTGTTTCTATTATGAAACTTTTTTAACAATAATTACTAGGAATATTTTTTCAATGTTCCTCCGGAGATAAAATTAAATTATCATTTTCAATCCCATTTCTGTGTCAAATTAAATTGTCATTAGGACAAGGAAGTTTAAGGAATAGTAAAGGGTCTTGCACTTTGCTTTATGGGAGACAAACATATTGTGACCTTCCAGTGCAAACGCATGCACTGCCTCACTGATTTTATTCAATCTTTTATATATATAAACACTAGATGGATTTACTTTATGCCTCTCCACCCATCCGTTTCCTAGTACAAAGGTAAATAGTTATACAGATATAATTATATTTTAATTGTTTAAATATCCTTCATCGCACTTAGTTTATATGATTCTGCCTTGACGTTTTCAATGTTTCTGGGATTTATTTCAATGATCTCGATATTCGTTAATTCATTTAAGCTTCTTTTTTGTTTTGTTTTGCTTTGTTTTTTAGATAAAATTTAAAAAAAAAGATCTTCACGTGTTCTTGTATAATTAAGTAAGATTTCATTTTTCCAATCATCTAAATGATTAATTTTAACAACACGATTTTTTAAATTCGAGATCGTTGTTTTTATTTACCTTTTTTCTTGCAGAGAAAGAGAGAAAAGTGTAAAACTGTAGATAAATTTATTTCATTTAAAGGTATATCTTCTTTAAAAACAAATATAATGCAGAAATAGAATTTCCGTCAGCGTTTTGTGTCCATAATCCATAAATTTAATATTTCATTTAATATTTTTGTAGAAATTCGGAATATTCATTCACCATGTTTGATCTGCTTTGCCTATCTGTTTTATTTGCAACACATTTCAAAGTGGAATCTCTGGAATGTTCGTCCGACGAAAGATGCAGATGTGAAAACTATCAAGGACAACTTTGGGCAAATTGTGAAAATCTTAATCTCACAACGACACCGTCTTTTAACAATGACGTCACAGGAATCAATCTTGCAAGAAACAGCCTTTCAAAGTTTCCAGAAAGTCTTCCTAAAGGAATACTGTATTTAGATGTCTCTGAAAACATACTGCAAAAAATGGATGCAGCGTCACTGCATAAATATAACGACCTGAGAAATTTAAGTGTTTCTAGCAATAAACTTAGGTCTATTGAGCTTGGTGCTTTTGAGAACACCTCAAACATTCTACATCTTGATATTTCAAATAATCAGGAATTAACTTTAGACGTTATAGTTAATGTATCGAGTGACTTACGGAACTCTACTTCAATTCGAGTTTTAAATTTTGAAAAATTACAATGCACCTATGGCGTCAGTTTCAATCTCATGAAATATCATACTGTTTTTCTCAGGCACACAAAGCTAGAGGAACTGAATTTGGCGTCAAATCGCATCAACAGTCTTGAAACAGGAGTTCTATCAGAATTACCAAAGTCCCTCAAACATCTAAATTTAGCGAATAACATTCTGAGTTTTGGATTTTATTTGGCTGAGTTTGGCAATTTGCCCAGTTTAATCAGTATAAATGTGAGTTTCCAAGATTCTTTCCGTCAGGTGCTTACAACCGAATTTTTGATTAATTGTAACGATACCCGAGCACCAGGCAGAAGATTTACAGAACATTCTGATATTTTCAGGAGGAACCCTGTATTATCATCTTCCATGAAAGAAAAGTTTAATTTAACTGTATATATGCCAAGAAATCTAAAAACGATTTATTTTCACGACAACTTGTACAAGTTTACTCTACAAGACTTTATTTTCAAGTCTGTCCATAAACAAGTGTTGACACATCTCTACATGCAAAATAATATCATCTACGAATTGAACGGTCCTATCATAGGATTTGAAAGTGTTGAATATGTCGATTTCTCCAATAATTTTTGCGGTCGCATCTCGTCGAATTTCTTTCAGTATTTTAGAAATTTATCTTACCTCAACCTGTCCAACAATGCATTGGGTGAAACTTTAGAAAGGGATGGGAATGGAGATATTTTCCAATATCTTCGTACGTTGACCACTTTGGATTTAATGCGGAACAGGATTGTATCTCTTCCGGATAAAATTTTCCGTAATTTGAATAAATTGGAAAATCTTGATGTGAGTTATAATTCTTTAAATAAATTTTCGATACCTATAAATCATATGACAAATCTCTTAAATTTAGACCTCTCAAATAATCAGTTAACGTGTTTGGATGCGGAAACGAGAAACGCCTTAGATTCGATTTCACAAAGGAGAGAAATTTCAGTGAATTTGAGAGATAACAGATTGAGATGCGATTGTGAAAACTTGGAATTTCTAAAGTGGATGCACTTGTCTAAAAATGTAAAATTTCTGTATTTCCACAATTATTCTTGTGATTTCTTAAATTCATCAAAGATGCATTTTTCTGACATTGAAAATGTACTTCAGACTTTGGAAAAACGATGTGTGTCTTATGCTCTTCTTATCGTGATTATGACGTCATTAATAATCGTTGCCTTGACAACCGCTATCAGTCGCATTCTTTATAGATATAGGTGGAAATTAAGATACATGTATTATGTTGCAAGGGAAAAGTACAAAGACAACGAACTACGTAACCGGAAATATCATGGAAAAGAATATCACTTTGATGCCTTTGTGTCGTATGCTGAAAGTGACCGACATTTCGTTATTTCTTTAGTGAAGTTCCTCGAAGATCAAAGCAACTTGAGGCTGTGTATACACCATCGTGATTTTATTCCAGGGACAGGAATTGAAGATAACATCACAAACGCCATTCATAACAGCAGACAAACTGTTTGTATTATGACGTCACAGTTTTTAGAATCATATTGGTGTATGTTTGAATTGAACATGGCTCGAATGGAATCTATATATTCCCGAAATGGTGAAAATGTTCTTTTTCTTGTTTCTCTAGAGGAAAGTGCAATGAGAAAATTGCCGCTGTCTTTAATGGACCTGATAGAATCAAAATCATATTTAGAATTCCCGGAGGGAGGGGACCAGGAGGAAGTAACAGCCTTCAGATCGAACTTAAAGAGACACCTAAATCGTACGATAATGGCTTCAGACACTTAAATGATGAGAGGTTAAGATAAAAAAACAGCAATCGATCTAAAAATCTTTTCACGACCTATTGGTAGCATCTGTTCCAAAACAACATACACTATCATAGTTATGCTGGTAATTCTCAAGCTTACCTTGTCTTTAAACCTAGGGACATGTGGAATAACACTGTTTTGAGACAGTGCATGAATGTACACCAAAATGTTGAAACTAAACAAGAATAAAACAGATTTTATAGTTTTTACCCCTATACATCAAATAAAAGAATCTCCATTGTATCATCTTAACTTTAGTGGCACCGGCATTAGTGAGACAAGCAGCGTAAAGTACCTCGGTGTACGGTTTGATAGGTATATCTCAGCATGCAAAAGCAAAATACGTCCATTCCTCGTGCATGCTACTTCAATCTAAGGAACAATGGTAGAACACGACCGATGATTACAGAGAATGCTTGCAAGATCATATTCTTTGCACTTGTGGCCTCTATGCTCGACTATGTCAATGATCCACTTTATGGTGCAAATAAAACTGATCTAGCTAAACTGCAAAGAATATAGCGGCACGTTTTATTACCCGTACCAAAAGGACGGAGCACATTTACTTTCCACCTTTCATTCTTTATTAGGTCTTCCACCTTTCCTTGCCCCTATTTTGCGATTGTCCTTTTCTTAAACGACAAGTGGTAGAACATGACCAATGCAACATTGATTGAAATTTAGGTCATTTTATTAAATGGAAGGTTTATCAACAGAATTTACATGGGTTTCAGTACATGAAAATAACAGCATGTAATTTGATTTAAGCAGTTTTTGACACTGACAGGATTCTCATGTTTACGAAGAACTGAAAACTTCTTAACGGCAAGTTGTAAAGACATGTGGACAATGCATGAGATCTTTCGACCTTTGAGAGATGCTTCTTGCCAAATTGCTTATAAACATTTTTTTTGGGGGGGGGGGGGGGGGTTGGGGGGTTGGGTTGCGATAATTATATTAATTCCTTGCATATAATTCATGAATTTACAGTACCACGCTCTCAGTGACACAGTTTTCTCAAAATGCATTTTCATTTTTTATGCTGATAACCAATTGATAAACGCGTCCAATATAAAATTCTTCTTTATACTCTGTACATACAAAGTTATTAACAACATGGCACTGAGGTACATTGAAAAACTCACCAACATCGATCGACCTTAAATACTGGACGTTCCCTGTAAGATCAGTTTAAATCCAGTCATCAGCCTGCAAAGATAGCTAAGCCGAACTTTTATTTAGGGCAATAGACGTCTTGATGTGGCTGTAGCATCCCTTGAAATGTCTACCTTTATATTTGCGTTTATACGTCAAAGTTATTACTTTTGCCAAAAAACCAACATCGACCTCTTTTTAGATCAGCAAGTATCAAAGATAAATTTTAGGGCAGAGATTTTATTTTGTTTATATTTGATGAGTTTATATAGAATTTTTAAAAATGAGAATTTATGCATAACAAATCATATCTATGACGTAAATTGATTATTTCATTATTATGATAATTTTTTCAATTGATTGTATTTTCATTTCTTTTAACTGTTTATAAACTTATATCTATATCATTTTTTCAATATTTTATTTTTGAAGGTTATCAATGCCAAATTATGTTATACCTTGTGCCATTCAGCATTACTTTTATTCCTGTCAATGTTTCAATATTTTCATAGTTGTATTTTTACTATGTTGCACAGCGCTCTAGAGTAATTTGTTGTTTTTTTTTTTTTTTTTTTTTTTTTTTCATAAAGCACTTTATAAACAGTATAAAAATAAAAATAAAAATGATAATAATTGAAGCAACCTTATTCATGTTATTCCGTTGAAGGGTTATTTAAATATAAATCTCCAGAATTTCCAGAGTTTGGATCGTATTTCTAAAAAAAAGTTGCATGGCCAGTCGGACGTGTCAAGGGTCCTATGTATCAATTAGATGTAATATCACGTGGTATGAAACAAGTCAGTGAAAATACAACTCAGTGATATGTTATACTGTATTTGTTAATAAGGTCATAACAACAACCACAGAAGTTTTTACGAATGGCTCACTTCAAACGAAAATGTTAAATCCTTGTAAAGTCAACGTGTGTGAGTAGCCTGTTTCGGATGGGAAAAAATACTGTTTTTAGAGCAAGCTCTTGCGTAGCAAATTTGGATCTATAAGCACTATGCACAGATGATTGCAGAACACTGCATTTTAAATAAGGAAAGTCTGCGATGTTGAGCTGAGCTCATCTTGTTTGTCAATTTAGTTGTTAGTTAATTGCATTTATCATCTTTATAATATTCAAATATGAAGTCAGCAGAAGTGGCAGACTCTATTGTTTCTTAATTGAAGGCAATATACAAGTGGTAATATAACTTCATAGGAATAAAGACAAGAACCCAAGGAATAATATAACTTCATGAATAAAAACACAACCCAAGGGGTCAAAAATTTCTGATAATAAAAATCTATTTCTAATTGAAGCCTTAATTAAGTACCTATGACCCAAGATTGCACAGCTTTCCAAAATTTGATGATTGGCCAATTAGGACTGTATTTTTAATAATAAAATATAAAAAACCATTTCACAGTGACCTATATTAAGATAAGTTTATAACCTAATATCCATATCAGTTTTTCAATATTTTATTTTTGAAGGTTATCAATGCCAAATAATGTTATCAGCATTAGTTTTAATGTTTCAATGTTTTCATAAATTTTTAATGTTGCATAGCCTTGTGATTTTTTTTGTGTGTTTATAAAGCCTGTCTTGAACAGTAAAAATAAAAAATGAATAATTGAAGCAACCTTATTCCGTGGAAGGGGATAAATATAAATCTCAGAATTTCCAAAGTTTGGACATATTTTAAAAAAAAAGTTACATGGCCAGTCGGACGTGAGGATCCTATGTCAAAGCATCAATTAGATGTAACATCCCGTTTTCAAACAGGAAAACCTGACAATTGATATGAAACAAGTCAGTGAGATACAACTCAGAGATATGTTATACTGTATTTGTTAATAATTTCATAACAACAACCGCAGTAGTTTTTACGAAATGCTCACTTCAAAAATGTTAAATCCTTGTGACATCAACTTGTTTGTGATAAGCCTGTCTCAGATGGAAAAAAAAATACTGTTCTCAAAGCAAGCTCTTGAATAGCAAATTGGTATACATAAGCACTATGCACAGATGATTGCAAAACACTACATTTTAAATATGGGAAGTCGTCGATGTTGAGCTGAGCTCATCTTGTTTGTCAATTTAGTTGTTAGTTAATTGCATTTATCATCTTTATAATATTCAAATATGAAGTCAACAAGTGGCAAACTCTATTGTTTCTTAATTGAAGGCAATATACAAGTGGTAATATAGCTTTATAGGAATAAAAAAAAATCAGGTCGGCTAATAACGGACACAATTAGTACCCTTTGGGATTCCATTGCTTTGTTTAGAGATATGCAGTACATGTATCTAAGACTATATAAATATTGTCAATGAGGAACTCTAGCATCCTTTAAATTTCAGTGCTTATCTTTAGAATTAGGGTAATTTTTACGGAGTAAATTTGTCTATGACGAATCACAAGCTTAAGATGTGCAATCTTTTGAGTTCATTTTTTTGGACATGCAGTTGTCTATGATATGAAAAAGACCAATGGATTTCAATTTACCATTCTACCATTGTGCAGATGTGTCTTCCCACATAAACAAAGCGGCGGTGTGTCCCACGATTATAAATCCTTTAAGAGATAAATAGAAAACAACTTTATTTGTATTATACATTTATTGCATGATAGTGAGGGAAATATGAAGACTTATTCAGCCAAGAAAAAATCATATTCCCCGAGGGCTTCGCCCGAGGGGAATATGATATTTCTTGGCTGAATAAGTCTTCATGTTTCCCGAACATTCATGCAATGAATTGTTTATTATACCGAAACAAGCAAAACCTTTGAAATAAACATAAACTTTCAAATGCCGCACCTCTCTCAAATTCATTTTCAAAGTTACTATAAAAACCTTTGCTCAACACATTATCATTAGTTTTTTGACGTAAACCAGGCTATTGTTACGTCTACTTCTCTCGGGAGTTTTCGTTCAACGAACGAGAACTATATTGCGGAAAAAATTCAGTAGGTGTTCCGAAGAGGTGGAATATGATGAAAAGCGTGCCGACGACGGGAAATATGAAGTTTTACGGCCCGATCACGTGATAACCTATGTAACAGGGGGTGGTAATCAAGAACACAAACACGCCTCTGTCAGGGTTCAGGTCTTATTTATTCGACACAGTAAGCACTTTATGTAATACAAATGTTATAGCCCTGAAATATAATAAAACAACAATATAATAGCACATCAAATCAATCATCAATCATCTATACATGTAGTTTTCATAGTAACATATTCATAATGATATATATTATGGATGATATATATATATGTACATTTACTCTCAATACGTTTAAGGGAGATAACTCTTATAGTGAATATATAAACATTACATATCTTCTCCAATATAAAGGCATAAAAAAATAGTACTAATTAAAACAAATAATTCCTCACCATTCTGTGGGAAAAGGCTTCCACATGAATGTGTGATGTTTACAGACTTGCAATGAATGTATATGGACTCTGTAATTTAATACAGTATACATTAAAATATATATTCCTTTAAAATAAAATCATCTGTTCACTTTGAACAAAGTAACCAAATATCTGGGTCATAAAAACATATGGTGTAACTTGAATATAACAATTTACACTTATAATATAATACATTACTGATCTTTATAATCAATAATTCCAATCATAAAAATAACATCTTTCTCTCATGGTCATTCATTCAATTAATATAAAGTGAAATTGGGATCTTAATAAATGCAAATCTATGGAATAGACATATTACTTGACAATTAGTAATAAGGAAAGTTAGTACTTACCAGAAAATGGAATTTGTCAGTCCAAAAGTCAAAGTCATAGGAATCCATAAAATACAGTCTTGGTCATTACCTCAACAAGACAAAGAATGAATATTTTGGCGGTAAAACCAATGACCATAAGAATAAAACCAATGAAAATCAACTTAACAACCAAACTACCAATAAGAATCAATAACACTCCAAAACCTTTGAACTGCCCTAAGGTAA